GGGGGGGGGGAGGGCTTCTTCCTAAAACGTGCAAGACTGCGTTTCTTCATAAAACGTAGTCTTCGACTGCGTATGCATCAGTTGCATAGCGTGCATTTAAATACATCGATGAAACGTGTAAGACCCACGCAGCCCATTACCGGCTAAACAAATGATCGGGATGCAATCGTCAGAAACACGGTTAGCTAATGTCGACAGAGAAATGAAAATTGGCACGATTGTTCGGCTGCGATTAACGTTGAACAAACACCGGGCGTACGAACAAAGGACAACAAAAATCGAACCAAATTTTCCGACAAACCGCCACCGTTTTATATCTGACAATCAATCATCCGACACCAGCGGACAAAAAAAATGTGTATACATATATATGTATATGTATATATATATATACACGGAACATATATATGTATATGTACGAAGAGTTCCAGATAGAAAAAAAGAATCGCTCTTCGAACGCGATCGTTTTCAACGTCTCCTTAAGGGATACCACGGTTGATTGCATACTTTCGCTGGTCTTCTTTTTAGCGTCGTTCAGTTTACGGATTTACTTCGGAGCCGGCTGCCGCTTGTCTTCTCATCTTTCCATTGTAGTTCGGTGTCGTAACGATCTCGTTCTCCTCGTCGGCGATCTTGAAAAATCGATGACAGTCTAGAACAGGTATGGCGATGGTTCGCAAAAGCCACAGTCTTGACAGGTTGTCTGCGAAAATCAGAAATCGAGGTTTCAGACTCAGGACCGTAAGAGTTTCCAATCTGCGATATTGTGACTTGGGACTTGAAGATTTAATATTCGGATAATGCTTGGAAATGCAGGAATTCGAAGGTTTGAAAATTTAAACAATTGGACATTCGGAGATTTGAGAATTCAGGGATCTAGGAACTTAGGAATCTAAAAATTTTAGGAGCTTAGGAATTTGAAGATTTAGAACTAAATTTGGAAACTTGGTAAATTTTTGCAGATATTTTGCTTTCACCATTTGTTTCTCGAAATTCGAAAAGGCTCGACGTTTCAACGACCTGAAACTCGAGAATTTAACGATTTAGCGCCTGCTGCGTTGTAACGCGTTGATCATTGACAATAGCCTCGTTTCGAGTCTGTTTTGTTCACAATTTTTTCGACACGCAGCAAAATGGCCCAGTCGTAACGCGAAGGAGGAGGACTGATCGAATCTGTCAAGCTAGCGGCGATTCAGTTAGTTCTTTTCTCGTTCGATCGTTCGATTCCCGTTCGAAGCACGTCGCTGAAGCACATCGTTCGACCGAAGAAATTCACCATGCAGAACTATTTAACAACGCGTTATCGTCGCGTTCACGACAAAATCAAAGATGCTCGAATGTCGGATGTCGGGAACAAATTTTCCAAAGTACGTTCGTTCGTTCGTTCGTCAAAAAAATCGGCCTTGAAACAGCCGACGTTGAACAATCGTAACGTTCAATTTCAGAGCCTCAGAGAAATCAGAATATTGTCGCTGTTGAATCATTTTCCACAATCACTGAACAAGGTCTCCCTCGTCGGTATGAGAGTGCCGGAATTCCCCTACAACCAACACTGGCGAAAATCTTGGCTATTCAAGTATTGGGCAGTTTGTTTAGTCGTCTGTTTGCCCGTGATATATCAATTGCAAGCGACGAGCTCGGAGAAGTTAGAAATCGTTCCGAGACGGGACTCGGCGGAAACACCGGCGGAGAAGAGTAGAGTCGAGCAGGTAGCAGGAAATATTTCACGTGGTAGAGAGTGATTTCGAATGGAAACACTTTCGGAGACAATCCCTTTGACGCGTCTCTCCGAAGGTGGAACGAGGATAGACGGAGTATTACGCTTAATTAGAGCAAACGATCGTTTAAGGGAGACTCGAAATTACTTGGAATAATTTTGCACGTCGAAATGGCAGGGATATTTATATTGATACTAATAATAAGAACATGGAGAAGAACGTAGTATAATGGATATAGAAATATTATAGATTAGTTACAAAAATGACTGTCACATCGTGTAACGTGACTGACAATGTGAGTTTAGTGTATGTTTCGATACGTGGACGTTAAAATTGTTCTCAGTGTTAAATACATATAAACAGATATTATGGAGGATGTATTTTTGGTTTTTATCGAATTCGAGAAATTGATGAGTTTGCAACTATAAGGATGCAGCTCCCATATTTAAATTAAATTTATCGGAAAGCTATGAATTCCTAGGTCCAAATAAACTGCAAATAAATTTTTGTGCATTTTCATAGAAAAACTGTAGGTGTGAAGATGTATCAATATAAAAAATTATTCGGAGCGAACTACTTTTCTCAATATATAATATTTGAGTGAGCGAATATTAACGAAGATACGAAATTTGAAATTCATCAGAATCAGCAGCCTATTTGGAACACATGTACATTTTAGAAGTTTATTTAAATTACTGGAAAACTGGGGACTATCTCTTGGTTACAGTAACACGGTAATTGATAAAATTAAACTCACCGTTGGATATTCTTCCGTTAATCCGAATTCTCCTAAACGATAGTAAACCGATCTATTCTCCATGAAACTTCTGTAATCATAACGTGGCATCGTTGGGATTCTCATTTGCCAGAACGGTTCTCTGACGTTCGCACCCAAATTTAATATATCTCGTTCTCTATAATAAACTCGTAATGGTGGCTGAAAACGAGATAGACGTTTTCAATTTTCATTTTATTATTCAAATTGCCGATGGTTGTGCAAATTTATATTTTATAGTTTTAAGTACAGATAGTAAGAGCAACAAAATATTCTGACAAGTAGATTTTCATCTAAATTTATATTTCTGTGAAACTAAATTTAAATTCAATTTAAATCACTTATATACACAGTTTAATGCGTATGAAGTAGCGTTAATATACGGTTGTTAAATATAATTCTGTTCCTTTCTCCGACCACTTATGTCTCTTGAATTCTCTTTCATCTATCAGTATATTCAAAGCAGAACACTTGTTACGATTTTTAGCGATCATTGCTAATGTTACGTACTCGGAGAAGAGTTTCCTACTGTATAAAGAATATAAATTTGCATAAATATCTGCAAGCCAATTCACTGCCCATACCTCTTCTTTTTGCTCGATCGGTTCCTCTCCTGGTGAATTTGGCCTGGAAGAGTTTGGAGATAATTGCGGCGTCGATGATTCGATAGAAGGTACAAAACTGGAGATTCCGCTTGATTCGCTACTCGGTGATATTGGTGAGCATCCAGCCAAACTTCTTAAACCTCGTTCGTATAAAATTCTTGTTCCCAAAGCAGCGAAATTTTCAGGCTCTAGACCAGACAGAGGCAAAGCTATCGTTAACGCCATTTTCTACTTCACTTTTTCTGATCTTCTTCTTCTTAAAATTCTATCATACGAAAGTTTGAACGATTATTGGTGTCGAAAATTTTCTTGATTTCACTTCGATTAAAATAAACTTTTCGATTGCTAGAGACCGTTACGACGTTGACCGAAAACTAAAGGTTCAGTAGGCTCTTCTTCGATAACATTCTTCGTTGAATATGTGTGTCTTATTCATAATAGATACGTCGTATATACGTATATCCTCGAATGAGAGTGTGTATGAAAGTAAACATGACCTTTCTCATTTTCAAGTGGTAGCAACGTATGTTTAATTACAAGTAATAATATGGTACAAATATCGTACGTTTCTTAGTTAGTTTCCTAATTTAATCGAACATCAAATGAATTCTCAAATTATAATTTCAATTTTTAATGAGCCTTGATATATATTTTTGCCACAAGATGAATTTTCTTTTTATCGTTTCTCAGTGTTGATTTTATTTTCGAGTGTGGAGAGTGTACAAAATATACTTTGACAGAATTTATTTGTTGACAGAATTTGTCAACATCCCCTAATTTTGAGGGTGAAACGATAAAGATGTAGGAGTTTTTTTTATCGACGAGTATGCTTATCTCTCGTTGATAACAATCTGCAATTTCAGCTATTACCGACATCAGTTCCTTGTACCAACAGTGGTAATTTGGACGAAAGTTTCCTTACCAACAGTTGTACATTCACATAAAAATGAAAGGATATGTCATTTTTTAACTAATATATTTTATTCAAATATTGTATTGCAATTTGTAGTTAAAAATACAGTGTCTATAATATTGAAATTTACTTGGAATTTTATGATTTTGATGATCAACTTTGAATCCATCATCACAGGCGAAGTGTGATATCCATCCTACCACATGTCGATAATGTAGAATCCTTTATATTTAGTTCCTTTTAGAACCCGTTTTGGTGTTGTACTTATTGACTACTAGAGGGTTTCTAAGACGACGCGTTCTTATCCAATATTATTTCTTTCCCTAAATTGTTAATAAAAAACAATATTTACTTATTTTATTGATATTAGATTTTTGCACATTCATCAGAAAGATGAGTATATTATTTTTACAATGTAATAGTTTAAAATTATTGAGAAGTCCGTATGTATGATTTTCTCGCTAGTTATGTTGAACTTTTCGATTTACTATATAAGACTGATACATACTCTATGCTCCCGTGGTCCGGCGCTACTCAGGAAAACTACTGTGGAAAGAGTCTTCATTCAAGGACGTGTTAGGATTCTGCGAAGGTGTCATCGTTTCCAACATCATTGCTTCTCCTGTGCTCGGTTGGCTGTCCGTGTGTTCTGTTCTCAAAACACCATCACGTAACGTGTTTGTGAGAAGAAGATTAGGGATTTTACTGTTGATGATCATCAATATCATCATATGTGGGGTTTCGCAGTTTGGTATCCTTCTTCAAGGGATTTCCATTACCACGGTAAAAAACCCAAAGCCCCGCCGCCCTTTCAGCTCTTCAAATCTTTAAAAAACTCGGACAAGAGGGGGAAGGCGAGAAATCTGGACACCACCCACCCACCACCCCACGGAATGAGCAGCGTGTGTTCTGTCCGTTTCTTACGGAGTTACCTTGCTCTTTCCACCTTGATGGGAGTGGCCAAAGAAAAAATAAGGGCTTTCTCTCTCCCAAGGTTTGGAAAAAGGAAAAACAATGATCTCTTTACTCCTTCTCATTGTCTGATCGCTGTATAGTTCAGTTTGAACAATGGAATCTTCTCGCGACTGTAGTAGCATAATTCGACCACATTTTTTGACTCGCTCATCATACTTTTTTCTTTGCAATTTTGTTACAATTTTCGATTGTCAATTAACACTAGATTTTTGTATATTCGTTTGCACTAAGATTTATAATCTTAATATATATATATATATAAATCTTAGCGCAAACGAATATACAAAAATCTAATGTTAATTGACAATTGGAAATTGTAACAAAATTGCAAAGAAAAAAGTGTATATATATATATATATATACTATTGTTAGTATAATATACCTGTAAAAGGTTATCAAAAATCTATTTAATCATTACTGATTGAATGAATAGATCTCTCCTCTCGTTTTGAAATAAATCATTGGATGACCGACTGAGCAAATATCTCACTTTTTCCCTTAGCAACGCAGTTTCTTTTAACCATTTTTCTTTCCTTTTGTTGTTTTATCAGCCTCGAATTGAAATTCTTTGCAATCTATCAAATATCTTTTTTGCTTTTGTAAGATACAAGTTTTAGTTACAAAATCAGACGTTGAGCGCGCAGGTGTTGTACCGAACATACGTGGCTTTCTCGCTAGTGGTTACTTAAGTGCTCAGTTAGTATATAAGAATGGTGTATAGTGTATGTCTTCGTGGTCCGGAGCTACTCAGGAAAAAGGGACACTTGTACCAGCAACAGTGAAGTTGCGTTATACGGTTACACAAGTTCTCTTCTCTCATCTTCCTCCGTTCTCTCTTATCTTATCCACGATGCCATCTTCTGTTGCGCTGTAATTGAGGGAACGTGAGGAAGAAATTTTCGGTCTCATATCGAAGGAAAATCCCAGTGCAACGGCGCAGCAGCAGCAAATCACGAATTGGATTTCTCTCATCATCATCTTCGCAGAGAAAGTTGTCTTTGAAGAAAAATTTGACACATTGGATTCTGCTGTGCACTGTTAAAATTCCGAAGATCTGACAAAAATTGTGGCGGGAAGGAGCACACAATGAAAATTGCTTGAAATCCATTCCCCACCCCACATCTGACGTAACCTCCTACACTCCATCTTGATGGAGTTTTGAAACTTCTCTACTCAGTGAAAAAACTGGATAGAAGTAGGGAAGTTTATAACTGTAGTAGTAATCCCAATTTGACCACACTTTTTGACTCGCTCATATTTTTTCCTTACAATTTTGTTAGAAATTATTTTATTATTAGAAAGTATTCACCAGTTGACATTAAATTTTTGTATATTCGTTTGCAAAAAGATATTTATAATATTTTTGCCACATAACAGTGAGAACTTATGAAAAACTACATTACTAATTGAATGGATATATATCTCTTCTCGTTTTGAAGTAAATCGTTGGATGACCGACTGAGCAGATCTCTCACTTTTTCCCTTAGAAACACGTTTCCTTTTAATCATATTCCTTTCTTTTTGTTATTTCGTCAACCTCGAATTGAAATTCTTCGCAATCCATCAAATATCTTTTCTGCATTTGTAAGTCACAAATTTTAGTTACAAAATCAGATGTTGAGCGCGCAGCTATTGTATTGTACATACATGGCTTTCTTGCTAGTGGTTGTTTAAATGTTCGGTTAGTATATAAGAATGGTGTATAGTGAATATTTCCGTGGTGCGGAGCTCAGGAAAGAGAAGAGAAGACTGTACAGTGTACCACAAGAAGATACAGTACAGCTCTCTTATTCTTCCTCCGTTTTCTCAATCATCCACAACGATGTCGTCTCCTCTGTTGCGTTTCTATTGAGGGAATGTGAGGAAGAAATCTCGATCTCGAATCGAAGGAAAATCTCGGTGCAAACAGCGCAGCAGCAGCAACCACTAATAACAAGGATTTGATCTCTCACATCGTTTTCACTCGAGAAAGTTGCTCGAAAAAAATTGTACACATTGGATTTCGCCTGTGCACCGTTAAAACTCTCGAAGATCTTTCAAAATTGCGGTGGGAAGGAAAACAATGAAAATTGCTTCAAATTCCTTCCCCCATTTGACGTAAACTCCATCGTGACGGAGTTTGAGACTTCTCTCTATTCAGTGAAAAACTACGTATAAAATTAGGGAAGCTAACAAAATATCCTGAAACTGTAGTAGCAATTCCAATTTGACCACATTTTTTGCCTCACTCGTCATATTTTTCCCCTTAAAATTTTGTTAGAAATTATTTCAAAGTTCGTACTCGTCCTGTCAGCTGGAAAATTACATTTCCCTGCAATACCGACTCTGGACATTCGCGTGGGTGTTTCTTCAATGCGCCACTAGAGCGTCTTCAATCACCTGGAAGTCTATGTTCATTGAACTTTAACATACCCTTTAACGATACGAAATAGTCTCCTCAATGAACCAGTTACCAATATATTCAACGAATAATAAAACAAGGACTACAAAATTAGTTTCACTATATCCTTCGTTAGTTTTAATAATTATCTAGGGGTGGTGTCAATATTTGCTCCAATAAATCGCTTCCTCCACTCGGAGCAACGTGATCACCACTGATTTCACGCTGACGTAAACGAGCTGTTATTTTTCGTTCGTACATTATAATGGCGTTGCTTTCTTGAACCGGCTTGACCGCGTATACCGGGTGTCCGGATTCGCGCGCGGAACCCGCCGACCCATCCGGTGGCCTTAGCAACGCACATGCGCCCTTCTTGGACTCTCGTCTCTCCGGTTTCTCTCTCCGGATGGTTGGGGATTGGCCCGGAGTAACACCCCCTCATAATGGGTTCACCCGTCCGCGCTGAGCGCGGCGCAGCGACCGGGAAAGAGATGGAAAGAGGGTTGAAGGGTGTCGGATAGAGACGAAGACTGCACGAGGAAGCAAGAGAGAGTGGGAGTGAGAGTGAGAGAGAGAAAGAGAGAGAGAGAGAGCAACGAGGTGCAGAGAGTAGAGAGAGTCGAAAACTGAGCGAGAGGATGAAAGACAGGGTGAGACGAGAGGGAAGAGGGCAACGGAAGCCATATTGATTTCCCTATGTTTCCCCGTATTGTTACTATAGCGCCCGGTGAGGGCGCGAGGAGAAGGCAGGTACCACCCTCGTCAACCACCATCCCGCGCCATCCACCCCTCGACAACCACCCTCACACAGCCAGCCAGCCCGCGTTCCGTTCTTCCAAACGATGGTCGCCCCGATGAGAGAGAGACTACGTCGCTGGACGTGCATTCCCTTCCGGTCTCACATTTCTTTCTTTCTTTCTATCCCTGTTCGCTTTTGCACACACGGCTTTCGGTCTC